AACCTAAAATAAATTTGAGGGACCTTAGCCATCAAAACATATTATTTTGGACCTCTCCTCCTATCAAAAGTAGAGGGGGGACCTTAGGCCAATTTTCCCTTGTTTTAAAATAATGATTTGCCTTGAGAGTTGTATTTTTCATTTTAAATTTTTAAATCATGATTTAAAATTTTTATTTTATTTTATTATGAATTTTAAAAATAATTTTAAGATGATTTTTAATTTTTTTTTAATTTTTATTTAAATTGATTGATGTATAAGATGTGTGAGATGAGAGGAAAAAAAATAATTGATTGATTGATTAATGATAATAATAAAGAGTTTTAAAAGTAATTTTAAATTGTATTTTAAAAATATGTTTTGTTAACATATTTCATCTAAATCATAATTTGAAAAACAAAATCATGATTTGAAAAGTAAACCAAACTACCATAATTTTTTAGAAAAGTTTACAATGTGCACCTTTTAAAAGGGCATATGATATGCATTTATTGTGTGAGTAACTGAAACATCAACTATATCAACACCGCGTGCACAAACAACCCTCAACATATTCAGAAAATCAATATTATTTCGAACCATACAATTCGGATGGCCCAAAATAGAATATGAAATACACATAGTCTCAGGTTTCAAATTCTCCCATGTTTTACACAAAATGCCAACCAATTCCTCAAAATTCAATTCGCATGAAACATTAATGACAATAGTATTATTCTCATATTTGCACAACAACAACACTGCACTGCCCATTGAAACTGAAACAAAAAACAGCAAAAATAATTTGTTTAACATAGAAACACTTCACAAGAACAACATAAAAGTCCAGAGAAATTTCTAAAAATTATAATTTTCTCTGAAATTAAAAATAAAAGTCCAAAGACATCTACAAACTGATATTCACCTTCAAGATGATAAAAAACAAAATCACAGAAACAGCGAAATTTACTGCTAATTATTAAACACAATTACAGAAAAAAAAATCACATAGAATACAAGTCCAGAGAAAACTTTTCTCTGAACTACAAACTGAAAGTAAGTAACAAACTTACAATTTTCTCTGAACTACAAATACAAGTCGAGAGAAATTTATGAACTTACATTCACTTTCTCATATTCTATCTGCATTACAAACTTCTAATAATATGTCCATATGCACTTATAATTTCCTCTAGACTACACAAACAAAAGTGCAGAAAATGAAATTTCTTTGGTTTGAAAAAACATATAACAAAACTTATCATTGATCAACATGTTGATAAAAAACAGAGCACGAAAAATGAACTCTAAACATCAAAATCACCTACACTGTCAACACTATTTGAAATTGATCAAAAAACAAAGAATGAAAAATTAATTCCAAAAACAAAAATCAACTCTATCAAGCTGGCCTCTCTCTAAACAAAAATTCAAAACAAAAATCAAAATGCATGTGATATCTCCATCGAAAACAAACCTGATTCAACTCCACTGAAATTCTACGCGGTCAACACACTGTAACACCACTGAAATCTCCGACGAAATCTCCAACGAAATCTACACGATCGTAGCAATCTTTCTCGTCAACTCCACTGAAATCTCCGACGAAATCTCCACTTCAAATTCGGTTTCCAAAATCTATCAGTTAAGTCAACAATATAATATTCAAACAAATTTATGTTATAAAGGAAGGGTAATTTAGGTACTTTATAACCTAAAATAAATTTGAGGGACCTTAGCCATCAAAACATATTATAAAGGACCTCTCCTCCTATCAAAAGTAGAGGAGAGACCTTAGGCCAATTTTCCCCGATGATCCTTGCATCTATACCCTTCTAAGATAAGAGTACATGTCTACTGAAAAAGCCATCCCCCAAGCTTATGCAACTCACTGAGCAGGTAGAACTATTTTATTATTATTATTTGATTTTTGTCAATTCATGAAAGATTAATTATGATTATGAAAATAATTTACATCAAAATAAACAATTGCATATTTACAAATCCAATAATCAGCCCACAAAAATCACATAACCCAACCCAACCCAACCATCACCAAATTTAAAATAATTCTAGATACTTACTTTTATCTGTTCCGAATTTATCCAAAATAAAATTGTATGATTGTGATTGAATTTGTATGATACAAAATTCATGAATCTGAACCCCAAAATAATAATGCTAAATAAATTCTAAACAAATAAAAGTGAATTTATAATATTACTCCCAAATTTAAGTTTATACAGGGCCGAAATCCCCTCCCAGAAATATCTGGACTAGAGGGCCCACCTTTCCTTTTACGTACGTGAATTATGCTAAATGAATCAAATGGTCCAGCTTTGCTCCGCAAGAGCACTGAATTGAATAATTTCTCTTTTGGCTAATTTGGTCAGTACTATGACTTGTCCAGTTCTAAGGACGAGATGACATGGTTTGTTAAAATATTTTTCAAAAAAAAAAAATGTTAGAGATGTTTAAAATATTATTCTTCCATTTACTCATATTGTCATGACAGTGGTTAAATTTTAATTGATTAATTTTAGATAAATTAATAACTAACATGGATCAATCTACATCATTGGAGATAGGATCATGTTTTAGTGATCTTAAGTATTTTACCTTTTAAAATATATAAATATTTTTATTTTATTTTTAGGTGGGATGGTTTTGCAAAACTTCTGTTTGGTTGTTAATTCAAATCAATTTTCAACACGTGAGCTCGCGCATGATGTTTGGATGCGACGTTCAAAGTTGATTCCGCGTGTTAATTCAAATTACATTTTGAAAATCTGTTTGGCAGCTTGTATCTCCCTTTCAACGTTTCTGCCTTCTTCATCGTCTCTGCAACTTTCATGTGAACCTCATCTACATCAGTCCTTCAGATTCATCACGGATGGCTTCTCTGTATCAAACATCCATGCTTCAGATTCATCACGGGTGGGTTTTAGAAGTCAGACTCATTTTATAAATAATGAATCCACCCAACCCGCTCTGTACTGGTATCATATTTCACAAATCGACTGAGTTACGATTTGTGCGTTGCGGACGATTCTTATTACGGGCAACCAAACAACGACGACTGCGAGGTGAAATTACTCACAAATTTATTTACATATTTTGTTATAGGGAAATTATTTGAGAAATTCATCTTAATTTATTTTTATTTTTTTCAGGTCAAATTTATCAAATTTATTGGCGAATCCGACGAGCAAACAGTGGCACATTCAATCAGTATACACATTCCATCACCGGCGATAACTATTCAACTCCCACTAATCTGGTAAATAAATCCTTCATCCTTCATCTGTTATCTGAAAATGATTTCAGACGAGTCGATAAATGATTTCATTCTTCATCCTTCATCCTGAACTATTTCAACTTTTTTGTTCTTCAAGAACAGTCAGTAAATCAATCTTCATCTGTTATGTATAAATGATTTCGGAGAAGTTGAAATCAGTTCCTAAATGGTTTATGAGAATTTGTAGAGGTGTATTTTCCATTTCAGATCGATTGTTATTTTAAATTATGAACTGTTTGAACCTTTCATCGATCAGAACCTGAAGCGGCAGTGCCTGGGACACCCGGCCAGTCGTCCCCCGGGTCGACCGGCCGGTCAACCACCCGGTCCTCCCACCTCTTCCGGTTTTGTCTTTCAGTTTTCCATTTCTTCCTTAATGGTTTGAACCTACCGGTCCTCCCCTCAACTGTTTGAACCTACCGGGCTTTTTTACTGATTTGTTTCCTACTATTTAAACACAATGTTAACTGATTTTTTTTTTATTATTTGTGGTTATATTTCTGCTATCTGAATGTTTTTTTTTTGGTGGTTATATTTCTGCTATTTAAATTCAATTAATCTGCTACGTACTTTTTTCGTCGAAATAAAATCATCTGTTCTTTTTCCTTTATCTGTGTTCTCCTTCAAACCATTTTGCGCTGTTATTCTTGTATATCCATCGCAGACTACTTTAAAATACTCTGTTATGCTTGTATATCCATCCCAAACTAGTTTAAATATAATTTGTATGTTTATAGATGGATGGAAATAATTTCGATGACAATGAGAACACCAAAATGTGGACGCCCAGAATTGAAACGAAATTAATAAATATGTTAAGAGATGAGGTTAGAAACAATCAAATAACGGGCCGTATTACTTCGTGGACAATTAGGCATTGGAATCATTATGCAAATCAGTTGCACAACATATATGGATTTCGGTATACAGGTGTCAAGGTGCGCCAAAAATATCAGCGATTGAAAGCTGATTACCAGACATTTAAGCGACTGCAGGGACAGACTGGTCTGGGATGGGATCCTATTATTGGCACTGTTGTTGCACCCGATGAATTTTGGGATAAGGTATTCCATTAATCTATACTATTTTCTAATTTTATTTTATACATTTCATGATATATACAGTGCTTAATTCTTGTTTTGTAATTGTTGTAGGCTAGTAGAAATGTGAAGAAGTTTAGGACAAAAGAGTATGAATATTTTCAAGAAATAGCAGAAATTGTTGAAAATTGTTGTGCCACAGGGGCCCTGTCTCGTGCATCCACAGAAGGACCCCTTGACTCAGAAGAAGAAGATGACATGTTAAATAAATTTTGGAACGCTGATACTGGTGGGAGTAACGCTGGTGGGAGTAATGCTGTTGAGGCCATTCCTGTTGACTTATTTGGGGATAAGTATATGGATCCAGCAAAGGGCAAAAGTCACAAGAGGGGCCCTGCAACTAGCCAGACTGACAGTGGTCGTTCCAAAAAGTCACGGTCAAGTGGGTTTGATGATGTGTGTACAAGCCAAAACAGGACATTCACGTGCACAAGAAAATGAAACTAAGGCTGTAAGTGCAGGTGGTGATGATTATTCCCTTGATGCATGTCAAGTTGCGTTGCTTGAGCTTGGGGACATACCACCGTTGCAGTACGTTAGGGCACTGACATTGTTCAAGGATAAGAAATGGCGAAGGTTTTTTATGCGCACTCCTACCCATTTGCGCCTAGCCATGATCCTCGCTTTGCAGTGAACTGAGAAGTTCTGTTTTGCTTATGTTAGCAAATCTTCTTGACTGAACTGTTTGATGATTTCATTATTCCTGATTTGGTTTTTATTATTTTTCTTTTCATTCCATCATATCCTCTTTCCTTTTCTATGTTCGTATGTTTTTTTTTTTTTTGAACTTTTAAGTTTTTTCTGTTATATTAAAACTATGTTCTGTTATTATAATATGACCATGTGTTAAATAAATTTTGTTCTCCTCTGAATTTTACTGTTTCACCAATAACGCTAACTGTTACAGCATGAATAACATATTTTATAATTATGCTTTTACTGTGATGTAGACAAAGGCATATGTCATCCGACAGAGAAAACAATACAATGGAGCTCTCATCAGAGGAGGATGAGATTCTTGATGATTTTATGGATTTTTTTATGATTGCTTTAATGCATGACCATATCAACGGGTCAAGTAGTCGCCGACCGTAGCGAACGTGTCCATTCAGAGGTGATGATTACATCTTCGGCATATTAAATGGCCATCCAGAAACAATGATGAACGTTATGCGAATGGATGCACAAACATTCATTTTATTGAAAGACACTTTACTCCATAATGCCTTTATCGATACTGAACATATGCATATCAGTGTGGAGGAATCTCTTGGAATTTTTTTATACACTTTTGCACAAAATGATCGCCATTGAATAATGGCAGATAGATTTCAACACGCCACGGAAACAATTTGTCGGCACATAAAAATTGTTATGCGGGCATTGTGCAAGCTTTCATCATTGGTTATCAAACCACGTAACCTAGAGGACATACCGGGAAAAATTTTAAATGACAGGAGGTTTTTTCCCTGGTTCAAGGTACGAACAATATGACTGTCCTGTAAGTTTGTTCATATCAATAAGTGTTAATAAATATTTTTTTTTTAATTATGAAAGTAATGTCGAAGTTTGTTTCGCTTTTAATATCAAACAAATATCTGTCAATTAGGATTGTGTCGATGCTATCGATGGCACATTGGTGGATGCATGGGTCCCTGCTTCAAGACAAAATACATTCCGTGGTCGGAAAGCAACGGTATCGCAAAATGTACTCGCAGCTTGCGACTTCGATATGTTGTTCACATTTGTTAATTTTGGATGGGAAGGTAGCGCTCACGACAACGCTATTCTGGTTGACTCTATTACACGAGCTGATCTACAGTTCCCACACCCACCCAATGGTGAATGTCCCTGAATAACATACGGTACACTTTTTTCCTTGTCTATTTTTGTACATATCAATTGACAGAACTGTGTATTCATTATTTACATGTAGGCAAGTACTATTTAGTTGATGTTGGTTTCACGAACATGCCTGGATTTCTTGCCCCATTTCGGTCTCAACGGTATCACTTGCAAGAGTTTCGTGGCCATCATTATGCAGGACCTAAGGAATTGTTTAACCATCGACATTCGTCATTACGCAATGTCATAGAAAGAACATTTGGTGTTTTAAAGAAGCGCTTCCCAATATTGCGGTCCATGCCAAATTACAAGTCTACACGACAAGGGCCTCTCGTGATTGCATGTTGTGTAGTGCACAATTGGATCTGTTTGCATGCAGCTATGGATCCATTCTTTATGGAAGCTGATAATGAAATGGCTGCAGAATCAGAAGCAGAAGCAGACGGGCTTGTTGGAGACCAAGCTGACTATGTTGACATGTCACAACATGGGTTAACGTCCCAATTGAACGTTAGGGATGTAATTGCTACTGCTATGTGGCAAAATCATGTTCACCATGCATAGAAAAGGGATGTGAACAAGGCAAGTGAATATCGTACTGACTACTGGTTGTAAATGCGTAATTATTTGACTAATTTCAGTCATTATGACACCGTTACTACATAACTTCTCCCAACCATCATTTCTATGATTTACTGACTTCTTTTATCTTCTTGTAGGATAACTAATATTGAGGACAACGATTGGGCTAAATGGCAATGAAACGAAATAAAGCACAAACATCATCGCATGGGCAATGAAGATAATGGTTTTCTTAGTACATGTGTACTGAAATATTGTTAGGTTTTATTCTTGGCAACTCCGTTTGACAAAACTCGTTTCGGTTGTATTTGTTTTCGCACCTTTTATTTCAGTGAGGCTACGAGTTTATTAGATGCGAATCCAACCCGAATCGTGCCTTTGTCAATTTCCATGGATCAAAACTGAGGTTGTAACAGGATCTAGTTTTCCAGATTTTCCAATTTCGGTCGTCCCGCTCGAGCAGGGAAAGTGACGCTCGAGTGGGGATTGCAAGCTCACAGCATCTCTGATTCGTCTGAAAAAGTACTAGATGGTGTGATTCGACACTCGAGCGTGGAAACTTCCGCTCGAGCGTGAAGCCTATATGAATCACACAATTTTTAAGCCTCCGCTCGAGCGGGAAGTCCCACGCTCGAGCGGACCACGCGAACACAGATTCTTGGATTTCTATAAGGAATTGGTTTTCTTCCAAAACTAGGATTACTTTGGATTTCTATAAGTAGTTGGTCTTCTTTCAAAACTTGGACAAGTCCTCCAGATCTTCTTTTTGGATTCTAAGGTTTATATTTGGGGATATTTTTGCTAGTTTTCTTTGATGTTTTGATTGAGTATTCAACTCATGGTTTAAAGAGTATACATCAAAGGATTTTTTTGTTTGTTCTATACAAAAGAGAGAGTTATTCTTCGGTGGATTCTGAAGAATTTGAGCCTGAAGCTTTGGTGGATTTCGAAGTGGCTCATCGTCAAGACAATTCTGAGGTGAAGACGGGGTTGGAAGAGACACATAGAGGTTGGTTCAATTTGGGCGTGGATTCGCTAGGTAATTGAAAGTATACCTGTGTAATTCCTTTATATCTTCTTAGCGGATTGTTTTGTGGCTGTTGCCTGTGGTTTTTTATCACAATTGGAGGTGTCCAATTGTGGTTTTTCCACATAAAATCGTTGTGTCGATTTGTTTTGATTGTTTGATTGTGATTGTTATACACTGCTTAAAATTGATACATAATCACAAATCAACATCTAGGGGATTTCTAAATTTTTCAATTGGTATCAAAGCAAGTCGTTCTATTTTTTTTAAAAAAATTATCTTCTGGAACGAGATCTTGTTTGATTTGTGATAATGGATTCAATTCATGAGGGAAATTCTATGGCTCGATCACCCCTACTTGACGGATCCAATTATTCTTTTTGAAAAGCTCAGATGAGATCGTTTTTGAAATCAATAGATGAAAAAGTTTGGCAATCTGTCATGAATGGGTGGACCGAACCAACAATTACCGTTGATGGAGTAACTTTTCCCAAACCAATTGAAAAGTGGGACACAATTGATTACCAAAATAGTAGCTGGAATAGTAAAGCTATCAATTCTCTCTTTTGCGCTGTCACACTAGAAGAGTTTAGTCACATTTGCAATTGTGAAGTCGCAAAAGAGGCTTGGGATATCTTACAAACTATTCATGAGGGCACTCCTTCTGTTAAACGCTCAAAACTTCAAAGGCTCGCATCTAGTTTCGAAAACCTTTCAATGAAAGATAGTGAGACCTTTGTTGAATTTTATGCGAAGTTGAGTGACATTGTAAATTCCAGCTTCAATTTAGGTGAAAAAATACCAGAATCCAAAGTTGTGGGAAAGATTTGAGATCCTTGCCCGATCGGTTCCAACCAAAAGTTACGGCTATTGAGGAGGCTCAAGATGTTGACAATCTCAAGCTAGATTAGTTGGTTGGAAATCTCCAAACTTATGAGGCACATAGGAATTTCAAAAAGAAACAAAAAGATATTGCTTTTAGTAGTGCTCATAGAGTTGGAGAGGATTCTGATGAGGATTGTGAGATAGATTCCAAGATTACGGCTGCTTTTGTTAAACAATTTAAAAAATATTTTTTGAAAAAGAATCCTAATCTTTTGGAATCTACTCGTACTCATAAATCTAAAGGCAAAGATAAACTCAAAATTAATTCTATAGCCAAGAAGGAGAAAGGAAAGATACAGGGGAACTCTGAAAGACTCCAATGCTATGAATGCCAAGGAATTGGTCACTTTGCTTTAGAATGCCCCTCTCGTTTGAAGAAGAAGAAAGCCCTCGCCATCACTTGGGATGATGAATCAGAATCTGATGAAGATGAAAGTGACAATGAAGATCAAGGCGAAGAGGGACATAAACAATTCCTTGCTTTCATGGTGGCTTCTGAAACTGAAGGACGAACAGAGTATCCGAAGAGCCCAGTTGAGAATACCACTAATGATGAATCCTCGGGAAGTGATGATGAAGAGCTTGAGCAAGCTTATGAAAAGTTGTATAAGGGATCTCTTAAGTTATCCAAATTGAATGACAAATTCACTATGAAACTCAAAGCATGTGAAAGTGAGAATGTCAAACTAAAGGAGGAGATTTCCGAGGCTAGGATTGATGCCATCAAGATAGCTAATGATCAACAAGCTCTTTGTGCAAAACTCTTGACTTGTGAGACAGAGAGGAATGAGCTACAGCAAATCTATGCAACATATGAAGAAAAAATTGAAACTCTCGAGATGTCTCAAGTTGCTTTGGAAGAACTAATGATCAAGAAAGAGGAGGAACTCAAGTGTGCTATGGCTACCATTGGTCTTTGGAATAGAGGATCAAAGACTTTGGACAATATCATTGGATCTCAACAAATTTGTTCTAACAAGAGTGGCATTGGCTTTGGTGATAACAAAGAGCAAAAACAGAGTGCATCTACATCTCATGATATAAGAACTCAAGGAAAGTGAGAACAAAAACTTCAACATGAGGATGTACTTCTCAAACTTTCTAGAGTTGGTAAGGTAAAAGAAAATAAGGTACACCCTGTTTTTATTTGTCATCATTGCGGTATGCATGGTCATATTCGCCCTTATTGTTATAAGTTGCATGGGAGAGTGTATTTGCCTAGACTTAGAAATAAGAAGTTGGAAACCATGTCGAGACAGGTCCCCATTAAAAGGGAAGGGAACCACAATGTCAAGACACCACCCAAGAACCGCAATGCTCACAACTTTGTTCGTACTAAAACAGTTTGGATGAGAAAACTTGACTTGTGTTAATTTGTTTTGTCATTTTAGTTTTTGGGTTTCTGTGTGTTTTTTTTTTATCATTACATGTGTGCTAGTTCATTTTTTTTTTGTCTTGCTTTAGTTAAAAAAAAAAAATTTTAAAAAAATCCAAAAAAGATTTTCTTAGTATGGTTTTGCAAGCTTGAAATTTTTAGTGGTCCTTGGTGCATATTGGAATTGATGAGAATAACCATTACATGTTAATATGTGTGTACTTTCTGTGGTCATTACTCATTTTGGAGTATGTGTTTTTTTGAATAGTATGTCTCATTCTATACACACTCTTGGATTAGCAAATATCGGAGTCTTCCGCCTTAGTGATTTTTTTTTTTATGGACTTCTAGCATTGTGTCTTTTGCTTTTCTAGAGGAATTGACCTATACTAGCATATCATGGATGATGTTGAGTCTCTTAACCACCTTCCATCTTTTTACACCTCCACGGCTTTCCCCTCAATTCTTTGCAGTCCAGCCATGAGGAAAAGGCTACCTCAGAGTCACCAACCAGGCCATCCTTATTATATCCATGCTTCTCTGGTTCGGTTTCCATACTCTTGAGCATGTCAACCGCCAATGATTGTGCAAAAGAAAAAGAAAAAGAAAAAAAAAAAAAAAAAGTTGGAAATCTCCAAACTTATGAAGCACATAGGAGTTTTAAAAAGAAACAAAAAGATGTTATTACTTTTAGTAGTGCTCATAGAGTTGAAGAGGATTCTGATGAGGATTGTGAGATAGATTCCAAGATTACGGCTCTTGATTCCTACTGGTTTGACTTTCTTTTGTCGTGCTTAGATTCTTTTGTCGGAGGTCCAGCTTTCATATCACTACTAGGATTGAATCTAGTGTTTGTCGAACTCCAAGAGTCACACACACACTTTTCTCATAGGATCTATGCTTTTCACATAATGCATCACTTTCTTTCATGAGGAATTTTCTACAGACTGTGCACATTGTGTTTACTAGTAATTATGCTTCTTGGATAATTTGTGTGTTTTAAGGTACAAATCTGAAATTCCTTTCTTGCTCCACCATATTATTTTTGTCGTTTTCTTCTTGTTCACTGTTTTCAATGTTTGTGGTTGTTTTTAGTGAGGGGGAATTTGGTTCACCTTGATTTGGGTGTGTAAGGGAGTTTGTTTTTTCATTGCAAGTGTTGTTTAGCATGAACATTTTGATATGTTTGGTAAGGGAGATTGGCTATATGTTTTGCATGTTGCTATGCACTGTTTGCGCTTCTTGTATGTTCCTGGTATTTATATCGTCATATCATTGCTTGGGTTGGTTTATGATCTTGCTTTTGTTGTTTGAGAGTTTTTGTTCATGAGTCTTAGTTTTCATCTATTCATGTTTTCCATCTCATGTTTCAAGATAATCGTGTCATATGTCTATTGGTTTTTTCCTATACTCTTGTGGGACTAATAGTTGTTTTGGAGATTGTGGCGCTAATAACTATTTTGTAGATCATGACCTTGAGAAAGAAGTTCACTTTTGTTGGCTGTTATGGGTTGGGGTGTTTAGGATTTTATTTGTTAGGTGTGTTTTGTCACGGCATTGCCAAAGGGGGAGATTGTTAGGTTTTATTCTTAGCAATCCCGTTTGACAAAACTCCTTTCAGTTGTATTTGTTTTCGCACATTTTATTTCAGTGAGGCGATGAGTTTATTAGATACAAATCCAACCCGAACTGTGC